ACATAACTTGAATGTCCTCTATCTACACCCATTTCCATACGTTTCTATCTTTTTAGATGTAACGTAACGTAACGTACGATTTACTGTTTTTTTTTAAATAATTTCGTGACAACGTAAATGCTAAGGTACCTTTCTCGATCTGGTCCGGATGTCCTAATAACAGCGGTTCCCGGATCCTTTCTATTACAGGTGCAGAGTGGCACACCGCGCGGTTTTGGAACGGCCCGAGGGGATTTACACAAGTAAAAAAACAACTCGATCTGTCTATGGCTTTCGCTAAGGTTTCTTATTTAAAACTTGGAAAATATAGATTTCCGTGGTCAGTTGCTAGTTGCTAATATTTTACAAGGGGCTAGGCAAGTCTTTCTCGTTATTAGAGACCAACCCTCCCCCTGTCCCCTATATCTTGAAAGGTGCCCCCTTCAAGATATAGGGGAAAGGAACTTCTAAAACTCAAAGGGAACTACAACTTAAGAGTCACATGTAAGTCTTGAGTTGTGGTCAACCGGCGGCGGTGGGTAATCACTTACCATCGGGTGACCGTTTAAATCGTCTGATCGTTAATCTGATCGTTTAAACTTAAAACATTAAAAAAAGAACTTAGAAGAACATTTAGTGCTCAACCGGAACTTTACGCCAAAGTGAGAGAGTTTGTGTTCTCCCCAGAGCAGGGCGCCTGAGACCGGCTGTCGGGGTAGTTTTTAGTGGAAACACCACATACTTCTGATTCCTGCGTTCCCGAGGAGCCGAAGATCCGAAGAGATTTTCCACCCTGTCAACAAAACAAAAAGGGTATAATAATAATATAGTTTATTTCAGACATCTGACACACAACGCCTTCTTATTTCAAACTAAGCAGCGGTTGTACTATGAAAACTAGATTAACTGATAGAATACTTTTTGTTTTGTAACTCCGAAACAAATATTTGCAGATCATACAAACATTTGCTCCGACCACAGCACTGCACTGTTGAGGCAGCATAATTTGTCATCTGCTAAATTCACACGGTCATAATTTATTCCTAATTGTTTAAGGCTATTTCAGTGCACGTAGATACTGGGACCGGACTCATTAAGTGGTTAGAGGTAAAAGCTTTGTGAAATAGAATTTATTATGAACAGCTGAGATATACTCGTAGGTTATTGCAATAGAAATTGATTTTATTGTTAAAAACGTACAAAGCTTGTATTTCTGCTATCATTTTTAACGGACTTCAAACAGGTAAAGGTATTGGTTAAAGTCAGTTCAACTTTAAAAAAAATATATATATAAGGCGCTGTAGAGCTTGCAACGCTGCAGTTGGAGGACATTTTGAGTATTTGGTTTGATCTGGGCAATAAATGTTATTGCTAAACTGTAGAGTAAATGAAATTTCATATTTTTCATAAACAAAAATAAAAATGCAATGCTTTCCACTTAATAAATATGTAACGAACATACATTTCAATGGGTTGCTGGTCAATTAAACCAATTTTACTATTTTTGGTTTTGAAATGGGGAAAGTTCAGGCAAAACTGACAGTGTTTTTTGTTTGTTGTTGACAGTTATTTGACGGTAATATGCTTGTTATCTATCACCTAAGGACTAAAAATTATACATCTATACTGGTTTTTGTCCGCGACTTCGTCCGCGTGGTGGCCGAAATCATACATCGTTGAAGATACATAATCAAATTCTCGTATAAATCAGACTGCACTGATTCGCCTGCACGGATTTCGTAGTGGTTTAAGCGGTCGCCACGCCGTTTTCTACGGCGTTGAGTGTTGTGTGACACCACTTTGTGTGATCCACAAGTTGTTGTTCTGAGTGTGGGTGTTCTCTGTGTCCGTTTCGTGTATGTTTGTAAAGTCCCCCCCGACAAAGGATATATATTCTTAATACGGGAGTTGTCTTTTTAGAAAGAAAAGAAAAAGAAAGAAAAGAAAAAGAAAGAAAAGAAAAAGACAGAAAAGAAGAAACTGATTGGCATACTGACTAATCGATCAATATTCGTTGCCAAAGATGCAACGTAACGTCGTAAAGGTGTTTATGATAATATTTCTTTATTAACAACATTCTTATATCGTTTCGTCGTTCGTTTTTCGTTTCGTCGTTCGTTTTTCTTTTCGTTCGTTCGTTTTTCTTTTCGTTCGTATGGGAAGAAAATAATTGGTTGTGGTTGTCACTTAGTTTTTGTATGAAAAAACTAAGTAACAACCACAACCTGTTTTGTCAAATTCGACCAACTTCTGCTGGACCGATTTTTTGCCTGATATAATTAAGTGATAATTGTAACTGATTCAGTTTATCTTAAAAAACACAGAACATTGAACCATCAGTTTTCATAGTGTAACCAGCCTTTCATAGTGTAAATTCCTCAAATTTGATAAATTTAAAATATAATGAAGTAATTCTTGCATGAAACAGAATCGATTCGCATCATTAAAGTTACCTTTGTTATTTTTTTTATGAACAGTGTACGCATGACCAGAAACGAAGAGATTTTATTTTCAATAGTGATAGGTACAATAAACTTGTTTCGAAACATGAGCACATATCAGTGTCTGGGTTTCTAACTTCTTTGACCAAGTTTCATACAAACTTTCTTTCTTCCCCCTACAACCTACAAACGCCCGCGTTAGGAATGTGTCCTGTGTCGCGGGGGACTTTATAAACATACATGAAACGGACACAAAGAACACTCGTACTCAGAACAACAAGTTGTGGATTACATAAAGTGGCGTCCCATGTGGGGATCGAACCCACAGCACTCAACGCAGTAGGAAGCGACAAAGTGACAGCTTAAACCACTACGCCATCAGTACAGTCTTGTTTATCTTTCTTTCAATACTTTCTTTCACCCCTTAGGGTATGAATTTCCAAAAATCCCTTCTTAGAGCACACTTATATCATTTAAGGAACATTTATGCTAAATTTCATGCGTTGATCGACCAGTCAGTAAATCAGCCAGTTTCTAATTTTATACATATAAATACGTATAATCATGAGTGTATGAATTTATTTTTTAATCTGAATAGTTTTTGTAACCCCATATTCCCTTTAATACAATCCCTGCGAACATTTTAAAAGCAAGGCGACACGTTTTATTTACCTCGTTCCCTTACCTGAAGACCTATTGTCTTTTTAAAGCCTGTAATATCGTCCCAACATATTAAGGACAACTTTAATTTTCACACAACACGTGGTAAGGCCACAGGGGAGCTCGTCCGTTGTCGAATTATGCAAACATCAGATTGTTTCATTTTGTGACACAAAGGTGGCATGTTTGTTCAAACGTTATTAAATCTCGACACTGATGACATTTGATTTTTTACTTTTTTTTGGCAATGTGCTTGAGGCCTTGACAAAAATTTGATTAATTTTTTTGTTTTTGTTTGTTCGGTGTTATTCCTAAAATAATTGAAGGGGAATAAATACAATACCAAAGCAATTTGACGCAATAATTCAAATAGTGAATTAAATTTTACTATATTAAATAATAAGGTTTAACAATGAATTTATTCCTTGACTCCGTTGAAGTTTTTACTTTTTTATAATAATCATACGCATGTGTACCATGGGCGCATGTATTTATATTCCTTATAATGTTTATTTCCTTTTCATTGTTATATTACTACAAGAAAAAGATATTTCATGTATCAAATTACAAAAGTGACAATTATTCATAACCACCGGTAATCACTCACCATAGTTTGCTGTCTACAAAAGTAGTGTAAAACGGGCACTTGAAAATTTCGTAATAAAAACACGTTACACGGTACTTAAATCTTCTTAGAACCACAACACTTAATGGAAATCATGAATATTTGATCAGCGCTTAATGGTCGGAGCCCGATAGCCGCTTAACAGGAGGACGACCAGAAGGGGTGAATTTCTCTCAAGTTCGTAATCATTGCGAGGAGTTTGAGTAGCCATGGAATATGCATTGAGTATGGTTGTAGTAGAAGTGTCCTGTGGTATCTTTATTACAATATAAATATCGTTTGAAGTATCATTTAACTGCACGAATGGCGTAGTGGTATAAGCGGTCGCCACGCCGTTTTATGGGTCCAATCCCCACATGGGACACCACTTTCTGAGTTCCACAAATTTTTGTTCTAGGTCTGGGTGTTGTTTGTATCCATTTCATATATGTTTGTAAATGCCCCGCTACACAGTATATATTTCTAATGCGGGAGTTGTCAAAAATAAAACAAATTTGCGGGTAAATTTATTACTGCTATTAATTGAAAAGTTCGGAAATTGTTGTTATTTCAAAAAAATTGGGATTTGGGGAGCCATGCTCCTCACATATGGACCGGACCAACCCTTCGACGGAGTAATACCACGGCCTCACAGAAAATCGGGATAAGTAATTCTTGAATTACTTTTTACCGAATGTTGGTGGGTTTATTCTTCCTCCTGATTCGGGGGAGGAAGGGAACTCAAAACACGGCAAAGCACTTGTGACCCGTGAGTTGCAAGTGTTCATGGTTGGCGAGTCGCTTATCATCAGAAGACCCACCTGCTCAATTGCCACTATGTCATAAAACCAAAATAGGTACATATTTTGGGAAGACACTCTAGCCTTGTGTAATACATCATCATTCACGAATTAAAATAACATCATCAAGACTCTTGGAAATGAGGTTTTGGCCTACTATACCAAACTGACTAGACGGGTTGGTTAGGGTTTGTTTCAAGTTTTTCTTCTCTTTGCAGTGCTGTTGTCCTGCGTAGTTTGCTCTCTTAGTCAGCTCTTACAACACATTACACATTACGATAGAAATTGTACTTATAGGTCCTAAAGAAATCGTGACATCTTCTTTAATGTTGGAACGCAACAGCGATTAGTCCATTGCAACGTTAGGGATTACGAATTCAGTACCATTCAGTGCAAATATTTGAATGCACGAATAGCAGCATTATAAACCATACTTAGCTAGAGTTAAGCTCAGTATCTTATGTCTCAAAATGTTAATATTCTCAATTTAAATATTATATTTTTTCTGTTTGACAGGAACGTCTAAGCCAAGAAGAAGTGACAAGGCTTTCAGACGTCCGGAACTTGGTGAATCAGTTGTATGAAGCCTTGAACGTGCGTGAACACCAAATACGTAAAGAACGTGAACTCCGGTCACAGTTGGAGAAGTTGGCTACTGAATTACAACCACTGGAGGAGGTATAACTTTAATTCATATTCTGAACTATTTATGGCCAGTATTATATTAATTTTAAATCTAGAACCATTATATCATAGGTATCGTGGTTTATATAAATCTTAATATATTACCTTGATAATTAATCAACAACAATCAACAATTAATCAAAGTAATAAATTAATTAATAAACTTGATAATATCTGTGTAATACATGTGTTGAAGCTGTAAAAACAAATTGCTCATACAAAACAAACTATTGTTTTGTTACTTAATACTTTATTATTATTGGTATTTTCTTAATCGAAAAGTTACGGGTAAAAAATATCGAATTTATTTAAGTCAATCACAACTAAAAGTGCAATTTATTTTTATCTTTTGTTTCGTCTGGAAATTCCGGACATTAGCGATAGATAAATACTTATATTGCACACCAAAAAAGTATTGTATACAATCTTGAAATGTCATCATCATCAACAGCCTTTAATAGTCCACTGCTGGACATAGGCCTTCCCTTAGAAAGGAGGTTTTGGCCTACTATACCACGCTCGCCAGACGGGTTGGTATAGGGTTTGTTTCAAGTTTTCCTTCTCTCTGCAGTGTTGTTGTCCTGCGTAGTTTTCTCCCTTAGTCGCCCCTTACGACACCAACGGGATGAATAGGGGTGGTGACACTCTGTATTCTTAATCCGTCACCACACGGACATCTTGAAATGTATTAAGCAATAATACAATGAACCGATATTGTTCTTTGGTTTTTTATCAATCATATCCAGGTAGTCTGAAATTTCGTAGTCTTAGTCTTTAAATTCGCACAAAATGGAAAAGTAAACATGAAGAAAATGCTGAGACTTTTTAAAGTTAATAACATTATTATAGGTGTTCTCTTTAAAATCGTTGAGTTGAGAATTGTGGAATCTTTTAATTACAATTAGGGTTTATATTACAGCACAAAATATACAAGAAAAAAGAGGATAGCTTGGGACTTGAGACTTACAATCTAACTATACTCTATACACTACCCGTGTGAACACACTCTTAACAGAAACTCGTAACTTAGCTAGAAGGGTTAACAAATTCTAGCAAAGTCGTTTATTAAAAAAAAATAGACCTGAATTTACTGCCTATATCTATTTTTACATATAGTCTTGAAACGTTCAACAGTATAGTAAATAGGTGTCTGTTGAATATGCATCTAAAGTTTTATTGTAGCTGTACATAAGGTGGGAAAGGAAACAACCAGCCTCCTATTTCAATCATCAATAAAAGGCCCTGCTATCATCTTCCACATAAATTTTATTAAGTTTAAAAAACTCCATCTAAGTAAAATAGGACTGTTATTAATAGCGAACTTTATCTTTTACGAGAATGCCTGTCCGACAACAGTGAAGGTTTAATCTGTGCCCGAATATCATGGGCTGTTGTGATTGATTGATTTGATTCCCGGTAGCGCCATCAGTCTTTATATCCGGAGCGCTCTGTTTCAAGTTTCCATAACGAATTCGACAAATCAATCTGTTATATGACCCATTTACTGTATTGGACGAAAAGTTAAGGATAGAAAGTTAAAGATATATCTCCACAGCACCAATTTTAGAATTATCTTAAAATCGAAATGTATTTTAGCTTCATCAGAGTGTTTCAAGATTACATTTCAAGAGGCTACTAGTTGGCTTTTTGAAGACAACAGACCAATGTTGTCTAATCTAATGACAGAAGAAGTTAGACGGGTAATTAAACTGACTAGTTTAACTACCCAATGATGTAGTTTTAAGATATGGGTACTCATGTTTCGCGGTGTTTGATCTCCACACGGGACGATGTAGTCGCTCAGCGGCAAAGTCCTTTTAATAATAAAAGAGAAATTACATAAAATATTTAACAAATTTTACGAATCCTAAAAAAATTGAGTTGGTTAGTTTCTTTATTAAATCTTTTAAAAAAACTCTAAAACAATTGCTACTTACGGCATGAACAAATCTGTGAAACACTTTTGCATCCGTTTAAGACACTTACTCCACAGCCTGCTTATACGTAATTAGTGCATCTTCCAGTCCTAAAATCTCTGCCAAGCATTTCATATTACTTATTATAGTTATTACTTTTAAACCAAATACTTCCATCATTAAAAAAACTAGCGGTTCTCGATTGTATCCAATCGTATCACATACGTAGACGATAGCAAAATTTGTCCTGTTCACCTTTTTGAAGACGCAATCGCGCTAACAAAACCCACATTAAACTTATCTATTACATTATGGCGAATTTCCAGGCGAACCTGCTTCTGAGCATTGACTTTGGTAAGATTGTGCGTTATACATCGTGAAACTATTTGCCTCACACTATAAAATCTAATGAACGCTCTTTGAACCAATCTTCAGTATGTACGGAATGTTTTACTCACTTATGGCCTTCTATAAATTTTTTAACTGCTAACAAAGAGTAAGATAAACCGAAAAAGACTTTTTTCGTAAGAGCTGTCAAACAGCGACCATATCTTTTTTTATAGGCAACTTAGCCGACGTGACTTTAGTTCGCTGACAACAATATCGTACACAATTGGCTTAGAAAAAAACCTCTACCGGCTTCTTCCGGTTCTACATTCGAAATCATAAAATATCATCACGTTAAAATGTTCCCGAGGTAGATCCATTATCCAGTAAGGCACAATAATTTATTACCTTAGTTCGTAAAGAACTGTAACGGGAAATTTGAATTTAGAACTTTTTTTATTTTTCTGTCGTAAATGGTCTTATTTTTAAAATAAAGTGAATCTGCTAGTGTTCCATGCATAAAAAGTCTTAAAAAGTTCTTCTTTTTTTTCTCGCAAAAAAATCTGAGTGCTCTGGTATAAATTCAATAATATTTTAAATTTATTTTGTAAGTGTAGTTAGTCTTAAGTATTGTAGACAACCCTATCTTAGTTTACGAAGTACATAACAGGAATGCGAAGCAATTACGACCTCAATGCATGACAATAGTGTTGAAGTTATCGGGTGATAATAGTTAATAATAATTAAGTAAACGTTCACAAAGGATGCTTCCTACAAAATCAAAAGAGTGAAATTTCTGAAGGTAGTATTCTGAATTTCGTACACGTACGAACGACCTAGGAAATTGCTAGCTAACTGAGAGTAATGTAATGTTATTCCAGAGAACATGAAGAGATAGTAATATCGTTAGTAGCGATGTGGTTACAGCTACCTTTAATATTTTTTCTGGTGAAGCTTTGAATACGAATGCATTTCATCGCTAGTATAGATACGATTTTTTAAATTGTATTATCAAAGGGCATGTCAATTTTAACTTAATAAAAATGCAATGCATACAATTTTTTATTAAAAGTGTATGCTATTCTATATTTTTAGGGTCATCGCCAATATATTTCTTTCATCATTTTTAAATATCTTATTTTATATTAAATTCTAGAAACGTATGAACCTTGAAGCAGAGACAACTCGACGCACCTCAGCTCTCACGTGGGTAGGCCTCGGACTCATGGGCGTGCAGTTTGGAGTGCTGGCCCGCCTGACCTGGTGGGAGTACTCTTGGGACATCATGGAGCCAGTCACTTATTTCGTCACTTATGGTACTGCAATGGCACTTTACGCGTACTTCGTTTTAACTAAACAAGTAAGTTTTTTTATTATTATTTTTATTTTGTTTTGAACATTCCATTGTTTTTAATATATTCCACTAAACCTAACAATGAGCACCAAGCTAATATACCTATTGGTGCCATAAGTGGAATAGCTTAGGTTTTCAAACTTGTGATTACTTGTGATAACTTGTGATTTTTAAATTTAATAGATTTAGTGAAATATACGGCTTCAAATACTAATTTATTAAATTCCAATGATGATTCAGTGCTCATAAAAGTAATAATCATTATGAGGATAGCATCGTCAAAACACATGTCCCTTAAAATAAATATCTGAGAACATATTAAGAAAGTATAAAATTGAACGGCAAGCAAGAAGTCCGTATTCTAACAATCTTATCAATACCTAATTTATTGTATATTATGTAGTATTAAAATTGAGCGATAAACGACCCTCTAGCAATAATCGTTTGCGTAATATTTTATTTAGAAGTGAACTGTGAAAGCAACAGTAAAAAGTCGGCAAAATATTCATAGAGACTTGCTTTCAGTAAACGATTTTCTTTTCTTGAAATATTAAAAAAAATGTTATGCTCTTTCGACGCAACGTCCGTCTTCTGTATGGGGTGCTGGAATCATAATATACACTAAGCTTCTCCTCATCTTACGTTTAAATCGGTTAACAAAAAAATGTACCTTCAATGCTATACGACAGCGAAATTTAAACTAAACAATAAATTTTTTCGCCATATTCATTGTTATTACATAGATAAGTAGGAAGTATATGTATAGACGGTAATACAGTAGAATTTCGATTAACCGGACTAATTGTTGTCGTTAGGCATTCGGATAACCGCAAAATCCGGTTAATCAAATATATGATACATAGTGTTTTATTGTATTCATAATTAAGAAATACAGCAAAAATATCTGAAAATTTACGACACAACGACATATTTTCTTAAATTACTAAAATAGTGCATAGAACGCATAAGGATAATAGTTTAATTTACTTAAAACAATAAGTAGGTAATTGTCATTTGGTAATCAAGAAATAAAGTATGTGTTAACCTAGTTTAGAATGTTAGATATACTTGTTAATGTCATTTGACGCAAGGCAGTCAGACCGACGAATTCGTTTAAACTGTAGTAAACTCACAGTTGTATTCTCCGTTCGTTTTTCGAACCATTTGAGAGCTGTTTCCAGGGCCTGAAATGTTTCCGCGGCTGGTAGTCCAGATAATCGCAAAAGAAAACATTACTAAGTACCGGATAATATAGTTTTCACTATATACAAAAAGTTACGTACCTAGGTACAGTATAAAATCCTTGAATACCTGACAATAGGAGGTCGCGCCGGAACACGGCTCGGTGAGGTGATGACCGGTAGGTTTCCACAGATCAAAAAGACAGATACTTCTAAATTTGCTTCTTTATTTATTCCAGGAGTACATATTGCCAGACGTGAAGGACAGACAGCATCTGTTAATGCTGCACAAGAGAGCGAAAAAGATCGGCCTGGACATTAACCAGTACAACTATCTCAAGAACGAGGTAATATTTTACTTACTCTCTTATCTTAAGCTACATTTCTCTGTCCATAAACAATGTAAGGTGATGATGGATCATCAGTGCTTGGATTCCCAAACAATTTCGAGACGATAACACCTCTTTATGAAGGTAAAATCCACCTGCAAGCCGCGCCATGTTATTATCCAGTCCTCGCTCGTTTGCCCCCCCTTTCAGACAAATAAATCTTATGTTGTCCTTATTGAACTGTCGGGTGCTGCGCGAGTTCTCATTGAATAGCGTCATCTGAATCAGAGATATGCTACGATCTGGTATTACGTATCAGATAAAACAGATTCATAAGAATCAATACATAATATCTATTGTTGTGAAATGGGGCTATCTAGACGGAAAAAAATCTCACGAAAAGTTGTAACGACACTTTTTATGTCAGTCATTCAGCGCCATCTATCGAATAGATAGGAAATCATTTCTCAAGGAGATTTTACCAATGTATAAATTGTTTTACTTAGAAACCAACTGAAAAATATGTAGGTAATAGCCGCTTTCATAGATGGCGTTGTAATTAAAATCGTGTCGAATCAGTTTTACTCGATCGTCACAACTTCGTTCCTATCGGGTGTCCCACGACACCACACGGCTTTTTTTGTTGTCATTACATTTAAGTGCGGGTCAAGATGTGTTCCAAATTGTTTTTATGTCTAAAACATTTATGGCAAAAGAAAAACAAATAATATACTTACATTGCAAAATATTAAAGGGGGAACAAGATGTGTTTATTTGTTTTTATATCTAAAACATTTATGCAAAATAAAACGATTATGACAGTCATAAGTCTCATCAATTTATCTTGCTATTAATTTGGCCTCTATAAATTGTTATATTACTCATGATGTTATAAGATATTGATCGAATAAAGAGCCTGAAGCATTAATCATACAAAGTTTGTGATAATACGCAATCTGTTGATAAGGCACTCCAAAAAAGTATAAATAAAAATGTATATCCGAACAGTATATTACTCGCCACGTAGAATCTGCACCATTTAATCTTATCAGCCTTATTTCGCGTTATTATACCTACTAGTAACAAGTAAAATAAGAAGTATATAATATATATGAACAGTACTACTTCAAAATCGGCGAAGAAAAAACCCTTAATTATTTGTTCATAAAAGTAGTTGTTAAAAACAAATACACAGTGATCATAGACAATGGGGATCTTTTGTCAAATGAATCTTTTTAAACCGTCAGATGGTATCTACCATCCAGGACAAGTTGTTACGGGAGTGATAAGATATACATTGGATGAACCAATGGTAGTTGACAGGATTACGACTTCACTAAAAGGTATCGGTTTTATAATTTTGACGCATAATCCAGGAACTAGACAAGAAACAAATTACGTTACTAAAGAAACGTACGTCGACATGGATACTATTGTGCAAAATAAAACAATGGAACTTTCAGTTGGTACACATGAAATTAAATTTAGCTACATTTTACCACAGCAAAATATACCTTCTAGCATGTCGTTTAAAGGTTATTTCAGCTTTTATAGAGTCAAATGCTCTATTAAATACTACATTCGGATAAAATTTGTAAGACCCGGATTTTTATCTTTTAACAAACATTTTAAAACAAAAATCAATGTGGTATCTAATGTAGCACCAAAATTGTCAAGGCAGCCTGTTATTTATGGAGAAACAAAGAAACTAGTGCGTTGGTTTTCTAGTAAAGACAGTATTGTAAACATTAAGGCAACAATTCAGAACTCTGCATTACCGTTTTGTGGCAGAATCCTGGTGCAATATGAAGTGCTAAATAATAGCCATGTGATAGTAAAAAGCATCATGACCAAATTGGTACAAATGTTAACATTTAAGGCAAAAGGGTACCCTAAAGTGAAGTATGAAGAAGACGTGCCAGGAACAGTAGCTAAAACGACATCAATTAACTGTGGAGGCAGTCAAGCTATGTGTATAGATGTAAATGTATCGCCTCAAATATATTCCATAGAGAATGCCTACGTAGTCTGCCGACATTATGCGATAAGAATAATAGCTGAATTACCCTTGCCACATAGAAATGCTGTACTCGATGTTCCTGTCCAGATTGGAATAATTGATGAAAATGTTCATAGATATTGGTTAGAACGGACCAACGAAGGTGTTAGTTATAGTGATGCTCCTCCGTCATATTGGGAAGCTATGGGAGAAGCGAAAAAGGATGACGACGATGGTACTGATGATGAACTTGACGATGTAAAATCCGCCAAATAACCTTTGATTATAGTGTTTAAGTGTATTGTGATAATAGTAATAGATAGTTAAATTTCGTTTACATAATCGCTTATAGAAATAATGCCAGTGTAAAGTTTGGAATTCGATCAGCTGAATTGATTAAGTTTTGTCTTGAATATGATTATACGACGCACGTAATAATACATGATAACATTTATTTTATCTTAATAACTAAGATAAAATAAATTTTATGAATAATACTCTTAAGTGTTTTTAGATGACTTTATGTTTTTTTTTATTTGACTATTATTACGAGTGCATGGTGAATGTTTATGAAATTGTACCTGGTTATATTTTAGCTACTACTACTAATTACTAAAAGTTTATCCTAAGAAGTGTACATTATAGTGATAACATTAAATTTATTGTAAAATCTTCAGATCTAGATGTCTGTAGATACATAAAAATAATTTACGAAATAAAGTTATCTCCTTTGAAAATAGTCGATAAATAATACCTACTCGTATTCTAAATACATAATTTTGTACATACATTATTGTTTTTTTTTGTAAATAAAAACCTTTTAGAATATTAGATGTATTCCTAATTTCCGTGTGGTGACGGATTAAGAATACGGAATGTCACCACCCCTATTTATCCCGTGGGTGTCGTAAGAACCGACTAAGGGAGCAAACTACGATGGACAACAGCACTGCAAAGAGAAGGATAACTTGACACAAACCCTATACCAACCCGTCTGGCCAGCGTCGTATAGTAGGCCAAAACCTCCTTTCTACGGAGAGACCTATGTTCAGCAGTGGACTATTATAGGCTGTTGATTGATGATGATGATGAGGCATTATAAAACATTTATTGTGTCCTGCAATATATATTGTTTTATGTTGGTCTAGTCATTGATTTATCATATATATGAATTGCTAAAAATAATTTAGTTTTTTATGAAAAAAAACCTAATTTATATACGGATACTTTATTTCTTATCCGGATATTTATTAACAATTATCTATATTTTGTTTCACTATTTATAATAATCATCTTCCTCTTCTATAATATCTCCTTTATCGATAAATAAAATTTTCGATAAAAAGTTTTTGCTATTATATTAAATGATGTTAAAAACTGTGAGGTTATTTGAGGAGCCAAGTAACGAAACTATCAGATTCCTATTAAAACTATCCGAAACTTTAGCCGAATCTCAAAGGGGAGCATAATTTCGAAAAGGGTCAAAATCTAAATGATATTGAAATATCTGCTAACTACGTTATTCGTGTAATATTTGCGTTTTTAAGTAGATTATACATAAAAATGAGCGGCTAAAGATATGTGTGGCATATATGCTTTTTTTTCTTAGGTTTTATTCTTGGTGTTTCCAATGCTACCCTAAAAACTGACTAATCCTGCAAAGTATATTTGGCTATCCAGCTCCATTCATCTATTAATGAGACATTCCTATTAACTTGATCCACTCCCTCCTCTCTAAATCTGTGACTGCGACGTTCGTTAAAAATCGTACTCTATTTTTAATCTGTTCCTTAAACCTATTTTTAATTTTTTCAGATCGCAAAGGTAGAAAAAGACCTAGGCCGACTTCGTGATCCATTACACATCCATCTGCCGTCGTGCGACATTAAAAGTTGGGATGACAAACGTTCCCCCCTTACGAAGATTAAGGACATGCTGGAGGAGACCAGCAAGAAAATGAAAATTACGTAATATTGGCTGAAACCTTCGCGCCGTCAGTAGCGCGGTACATTGGTTGTTTAGAGAGTAACGCTTGTTGATACCTATTGTGTTGATTACTGGCTTGAGATAATGGTGAATTGTATTTAGGCACCGTTTACTTAAAATGTGTGGCATCCAGTTTAAGATTGATTGAGATACCATCAAATTTATTGTTTTTAAACTTTCGTAACGTATATTATAATCTTGAATTAATTGCGGTAACATTTATAAGAGACCCTTTTCGATCAAGTCCAACCGTGATTAAGACCTATGCGATTCGTTTGAAGCCTCACGCAAATGAAAAGGTACTGTACCCCGAAAATTTTATCGCGATTAATTTTGAATTATATGTCTAACATATATTATGATATCTTCGAAAGTACTTGACGTGAAATGTTTTTTAAACCGATTTTCAAAAATGAAGAGTCCTTAATTCGAATTATCAATTCATTTTGCATTTGAGAGGGTACACTATTATTACTAAATATATCTTAATTTTCCCCAAGCGTAAAATATTGATGTAGGCTTATCGGTTAAACCCATCAAGTTATGTAAACTCTGAAATACCTTTTTACAGATTGCGTGTTACTAGTTTTGACTGCTAGAATTATGTCGATAAAATCTAAAAGAAGTATGCTAGGATGTAACGAGCTTGTAACATAACTTATAGTATTGTGACAATTCGATAAAGAAACGCAAAGTTTGCTTCTTAAGGAACAATAATCAGTTTAGTGACTTCCCCTTTCAAGGGTGAAAATGGAGAATACAGTATATTAAAGTTAACTATTTTGCTAGAGTGACGTGAACTAAAATGACACCAAGAAATGTATTTAAAATACTGTATGTAGATACTTGCATTTTTGCCCATTTGCTCCATGATAAATTTCAATTCACCATTGTCTAAATATAGCACTCTGTTCTTCTGTAAGTGTATTTATTGTGAATCAGTACTGAATTATAATAGCTAGTTGTTAATTACATTTTCACATAATATTAGTCATGTTAATACTATAAAGTAATTCCTGAAAAGTGCATATGTATGTCTCTTAAAACCAAAGTGATTTTCTTTCTTGCCTGTGTTTGGCTTTTAGCAAAATTTATAACTTTCTTTAGACTAGTAGTGGAATAATTTAGGTTAGAAAAAATGTGCTCATTGAATTGTTTCCTATTTGTTATAATATAATTTATTACGTAACAATGGATTTTAATTTTATATGGAATGTGCAATACACTAACATAAAATATAGGTGCCAACGAAATAAAAAATAACTAAACAGAAGTAGAGGATTTTTTAGTAATTTTTAGTTTAAATTAATACGAAATCTAGTCCATTAATTAATATTCAATGCGGATTGTATTCTTAGTTTAAAAACTTAGTAAAAAAAATAGTGATTTCACAAAGATAAACTAATTTTGGCGTAAGTGGTGGTGGTAAATACTCTTACCACTTATACAACAAGTCATATGAAATTTTTCGATGCTTGTATGGTTAATGTAGGACACAAATATTTCTCGTATACTATAAGGGTATGTTTAAAAGGCTTTAAAATAAAAAAAAAAATATTTTATATTACGTAATGTTGTTAATTAAGTCAGGTGGCGAATTTGTCGTTTTAAGAGGCTCTAATAGTCGTATAATTTGGAAACAAAATCTTGAAATTCATACGTCAATGTGGTGGTTATTTCGTGTTTGGACGACAATTTAATGTTTTATAGTGCGTTGGTTTATTTCTTGTGATTAATTAATAATAAAATATATATGAAAAAGTTATTTTGCTTAATATTTTTATCATTATTTCTTTTAAATGTAGCATAAATTTTTGAAATAAAATGCACAAATAGATTTGTTAATTAGTTTCATTGTAAAGTTGTTGCAAATTGTTTATAATTAAATATAATAAATTATAATCGTGTGTTTGGTGGTTAACATGTCTTTATGTGAGTACTAATTTAACCTTATTAAAAATAAATTTATATTAATATTTAAGAAAGTAATCGTTCCATTTCATACAATTAAGTGTCTGTTATTTTATGTACAAATAACAAGCTAAACACATAAATTGTCACAATAATATTTTAATTTTTAACACCAATGACTTAATCTTGTTTTTTTCAATTAAATTTAATTTAATGAGACATCATTTATTAAAAGAAAAGATTTATTTTTGTTACGAACAAACAATTATGAACAGGAAATAAAAAAGGAAATGTTGAGCGGGCACGCTTCATCGAAGCGGCGTATCATTCTGCTAATACTGTCTCTGTATGTTGATAAATATTTCTGGCGTAGGCACTGTTCGCATATTTAATGGCGAGTGTACCCGATTTCGAGTAACAACTATATTTATAGTATTTGTATTTAAAATGAAATAGTAAATGCAGTAGGTAAAATATTGGCTGTGAAATTAATGTGAACAAGCATTATTCAGTCCATAGTTAAAACAAAAATTCATTCGGAATCTTTAGACGTCTAAATGTATCTGTAAAGTTACGTCAAGCGCTTTTTGACCATTTTAATATAGAGAAAATAGAGATTGCAAAAAAGGTTAATAAAAAAGACATCCAATGTAAGTAAGAAACAATTGTGTAGGTGAGTGAAGAGAATTCGCGAAGTCATGTTATCCCATTAAAAACCTGATCTGAATCAAAAAGTTGTTAGTAATTGAGCAAGACACGTTGAATAACCCATTCACGATTAATTATTAAGTTTTAACAATGTTTTGCACATAGCGGGTTAGTCGGAGCTAGGTCATGGCCACGATGCTTTTTTGTTGTGAATTTAAATACAAATAAATACGCATCCGTTATGTGCAAGATGTTTGAAACACAAGTTGAAAACATGACTATGTAACTCTAAGTAACCTTCTAAAAACAGTAGTACTTCTACGAATGAAAGTAATAAAGTTAAGCATATAGATTATTTGTAAAGCCTTGGGCCCAATAATGTATCGTGGTTGTAGGTCCTCGTTCTCAGTTTATGGAAGAATAAAATAGTTATTCGTTACATATAGGAATATACAATAGCTTTGCACAAGTTTAATGTTTCATCTGTAGAAAGTTGATGATCTGTCTCATCTTGTTATACGTTAATTTTTGTCATTTAAGTCGCTTGTTTCTGTTGAATGTAAAGTACCTACCTCACCAACCTACCCCATCACCGTATTCTAGATTAAAGTGTTTTATCTCGGGTATATCGTCGGCTTTATTGTTTATTTATTTACCTGCATTATGTATTAGATTTGTTGTATGTATTGCCCAATTACTTTAGTCGCCGGTACTTTAGATTCGGCCGAATTTAAACAGCACTATACACTTTCTGTATAGTCGCAAAGAGATTATTTTAAATTGAAAACAGATCATGAGCTTGACTTGAAACTTAAATATACTAGATTGGGTGTAAGGGACATCGTAACGAATACTGAAATAGTGTATTCAGACAATCATTCTGAGTCTAAAATCATTGGAATTTTCTGAAGGAAAATTAAACTTCCTATGCAATCAGCAAAGCAAAGGTAAAGGTCATTCCCCCAAAGATATCGCACAAAAGTAATAACTACATGTGTATTCCGGGCAAACAGTCTACGCACACTAACATAAGTTGGCGGCCGGAGGGGAAGCCACGCGCGCTTCGGCTTTTTGATTAATTACATTGCACTTTTTGCCCGTATGCGGTATTCATTAGTTTTGTTTTCGGTGAAATGTTCTGTTTGCTCATTGTGATATCATTTTTAACCAAAAAAATTTAAAATTAAAAAAAAATGGTGAATTTTCCGTCAGAAATTTCCAATGATTTTCGACTCAGAATCTTGGTCTGGTCTGATCATGGTTCCTTACACCCTGTATATTTAAACGAGACGTTATACATTAACATTTTTTTATTGTTGCCTGCAATTGCGCTCAAAGTATAATATTGCCATCGTTAAAATTGAAGGCACTGGTAAGCCTGTGAAGGCCTAAGGCGGCGGTCTAAGATCCTTGTACATAAAACTCTTGTATCTAATTGTAAGCTCGCACATAAAATTATTCGCTCAAGAACGGCTTCTTGTGATTTGCTAATTTGCCTTTAATAGTCTTTTCTATATAATGTATTTCTATCTATACGAATAGAAAATTTTATATACATACCTAGTGATAAGGTGCAGGAGCAAAGCTTCAGTTGGTTAAATTAATTTATTATAGTTAAGCAAATGATACTTCAAATATCTCTTTAAGTTTGTATTTTTTCGAAAGTGTTAATTATTTTAAATTAAGTTAATACGTTTAAGACAGTTGCCAATACTTTTAATCATACTTTTTATTGATGAATATTTTGCTAGTTCACTGAACCTATTCAATGTGCTTTTAAAAGAACTTTGTAAATGTACTTCGCTGAGTACGTCGAGTAGTGACGGGTTACGCAATCAGAATAAGACGGCATTAGTTTCATTCATTTTATTTTGGTTTAGTTACTAATAATACTATTGTTATTTACTAATAATTATTTTTATTCAAAAACCCTTTATCCAAAAAATTACTATAACCAATATTTATACATTTTGAAAATTATTAGACATTGTTTGATCAATTTCACGATCGAATAGTTAGGTACTTCATTATATAAATTTAAATCTATTTAGACTAAATTAGTTAATCCACAATAACTTTCTTGTTAACGTATCACTAATGATTGAGATTGCCAAAATTAACCCTTCCATTGATAATCATATTCTTGTTAAATTTGTTATAACCCTTTAAATTAATCCTATGAGCTTTTTCACAAAAGGCGACACGACATTTTGTTCTGTATTATAGAGAGCCTATTCATGGAGTCATTGAAGGTTCCCTAAAAACCTATTCAGTAACTGATTGTAATTAAAAATGTATTCCGTCAGTTTTAGTTATTTCAATTCCTTTCAATGGTAACGAATGGAATCCATCATTCAATCTTGACTAGAAAGTATCCTTTCGATATATTGCGACCAAGATTATTATCCTTTGTACAGCACAGCGTCAAAAGGGTATTTATAGTAATGGCTATGGCTTACGGTCAATTACACTGGCTCTTACCAGGTATACCTAACCTACCTGGGGTCATTAAAAATATTCGTGATGATGATTGATGATACACGTGGCGATGGATTCCTACGATCCATGTTGTTACATAATAAAAGTATTTTCAAAACTGTCATCTCATCTCATTAATTTCTAGTTCCTTTAGTACCTAATTATTGTTCTGCTACTGTTAAGTATGGCCGTAAACTGTAAAAGTGGACCTAGTCCGTCTACGCTGCACAAATTTTGATTAAAATAATCGTAATCTAGGTGAAGGATAAGCACCGGCCTGATCTCGTGTAGATGTCGTGTCGTTTGTTGTAAAGCATTTATCGTTATTATAGTATGGGGTGATAACGGGAATGGCGCATGGAGTGACATAGCACACACACATACAACCCGACACCTTGTAACAGTTACTATTTTGCATTTTGTTATTACAGTCGTGTTGTTCAAATACATTTTTAAGAAATATTGTGTCGTTTTATTTTGATTTATTTTCAGGATGATAGTTTGCTTGCAAGAATAGGTAAATGTATGAAAATGAATGTATGAAATGTATTGGCGTAAAACGTCAGAGTGGGATAGCGGCCGAAATTAAAGGATCTCGAGAATTTTATGTCCTTGTCACAAGTGTGTCAATATTTATGGTTCCTTTTGTGGTATGAAATTACATATTTTGCAATTTTACACCCTAAATTACGAGTACTAAAATGGCGATTAAAAAATGAGGATAGGAGGATTAAACAATACTTTATGACCTTTCTCATACCGGCGTAATATTAAAAAAAATCATTAAAAACGGTTATGTCACTGACACTGGCTTGGCCACCATCATGGATTTTAATTTATATGACACAAAATCGCCAATGTCAGAATTTGTCGGTCACGGTTGGTCATTTGTTGGTTCAAAAGTTATAAGCGTTTATAGGTAGCCAGTAGCGTGGGAGTTCTCTCGCTCGATAGCCGTGGCTATCGTGCGGAGCGAGAGTGCGTGGAACTCTGCCGTCTCCTTCTGAGACGGCGGAGCGGAACCGGGAGAGGTTTAGGACTCTCCCGGCCCGCCAAGCCCGGGAACGGGCCAGGTACCGCAGGCGACTCAGGCGCCGGAGGTCGCAGAACGATCTCCGTCCTCCATAAGCGCAGGCCTGGGGGAGACAGGTGAGGCCATCTGTCACCCTAGCAGAAGCAGGCCGGGGTGGCGGCGAGCGCGTTGCGAAGCGCGATCGCTTCCAGGGAGCACAGGGAACATGGGGTTCCCACACGGGGGGGGGGGGTCGTCTACTCGTCTGTAGATGACCCGAGGTATGTCGGAGTACCCGGGACTTCTTTTCTAGGGTATACCTGGTTCCCCGGCTATTAGCACCCGAGACGGCGTGCGGTTTTAGTCGGTTCGTGTCCGACATGCCACCGATAGGTGGTTCCGAGGGGATTTCCGCATGGCAAAAAAAAAAAAAAGGGCAACTAGCGAACTCCCAAATTTAGTCGCTAATTAGACAGAATTTGTCGCCAAATATCAGAATTTGTCGGTTCAAAAGTTATCCGCGGTTGGACAATACCTACTTAAAAATTGAAATATCTTCTATACTAAGACAAGAGTAGGTAAATCTATGACAAAAAAATGAGCGAAATATTGTGAATTAACGATTAAATTCGGGAGAAAACAGATCTTTGCTAGGTTCCCTAGTTTTTGAGATATTTTTTAATTTTTTATTTATTGATATTACTTATAAGCACAATGGCGGGATTCCATACAAAAAAATATATTTGGAATCAAATTGCATCGTCTTATTGTGATTTTTTTTTTTTTTAAATCGGTTATTTTTTTAAACTATATGTAAAACCATTTTTGTTTGGGAAAGGCCAGCAAAAAGATATTTGTATTTGATTTGGACTCTTTTTAAAAGAGTTTACAGATGAAAATCTTTTATAACATAGCTGCATAATGTTTCCTTTATTTTATCAATGTGTCTATGGCTATCGATTTTTCAAATTGGTTTTTGTATTGTTTTACATAGTTAATTGATAATTATGACTGTATGTGTGTCATTTAAATAAAATAAAGAAAGATAATAAAGAATTATTAGTCCACTAGCTGTAGAACTTTCGTAGGTTATATTTTTATGTCAATGTGTCTGATGCATGAAATAATATTCATACTTATGTACTATAATCATTTATACTTATGTACATATATAATATCCAATAAGTATATTCATTTTCCTTAATTTATTACCTATTTCAACGTGTAATGAATTGTAAATTCTAAACCTAAACTAATATAATCGGCGGCGGCCATTTGCCGCTTGTCACGTCAGACGTTTAATCTTTATATTTAAACACAGAGCGCAAACGTCTGTCGAGTTGTCAAAAAACCTTTGCTTTTTTCAGCTTCAGTTGCCACTATATATATATATTTTTTCCTTATATTCCATTACAGGATTTTTGAGTACGTAAATAATGCGTTTAATAATGCACCACAAACTACATTCTTTATTGATTCAGTATAATTATAAAACTATTATCTGATTACCATATTACTATTAAGTGATTACCACATTACGACACTTTATTGGTCAGTATTTCCACTACTTGAAAAAAAAATGGCTGTAAAATGGTAACACTAAACTGATAAAGAAAATTAAAATAATCAAACAAGCTTATATTTTTCTTTCTTTTCCCGGGGTTTTACTGACCTAGACGATAGTTTAAAAAAACGTATTTATTAGAATTAGTTTCCTATCAATAACATTCTAAGACGTTCAAACTATACTCAACTACCAATTGGCAAATTTTTCGTGCGAAAAAAAATTGTGTTATCAAAATTAAAATACATGGTGGCCAGTGACACAAATCGGTTGAGCTTTTTCGGAGACCGACCACAAACACCTTTACGCGAGATATTTATATGTTAGAAAATACCTACCTAATATTTGAAAAGGTCGCTACCTTTTATTAGATAGATGAAGGTCTTCTCAAATATATTTTATTAAAGTGTCTTACAAAATTTATTGTTATGTAGCATAGGCCCTTCTATCCCCACGTAGGTATTTTATAAAGTAATAAAAACAAGCCTTTTACTTTTTTATTAAGATTAAAAAATTCCAAACATTTTTCATATACTGTTCTTACTTACTAAATAATACTCAAAATAAAACTTATTTTAAACTTTAGGAGATTACATTAAGGTAGGTCCTTACATATAAAAAAATAGTAAGTAAAATTTAAAAAATATTCACATTTATATTTCGTAATAGGCGAATATACTTTTTAAAATCTAACAATCAATATAATGTTATCTAATTTTTTTTCTGATCTTAACTATGTTAATTTAAAAGTAATTTCAGTAATCATAAAATATATATTCGTTTCATAAATGGTTGAGATTTTAGTTAATAAAGTACTGAAATACACTAAAGAAACCTTCGTTTTTCTTCATCAGCTTCATCGTCACTGCTGTGGTCTTCCTTTTTCGTATGACCCATAGCTTCCCAATATGATGGTGGTGGATCATCGTAAGTTACACATTCACTCATCTGCTGACAGCTTTTTAAATCAACATTTTCTTCAAATATTCCAACCTGCACAGGTATACTGACCACAGCATTTCTATGTGGTAAAGGCAATTGAGCTATTATTTTAATCATAAAATCTCTGGCCACAATCTTAGCATTCGATAATGAAAATATGTGTGAAGGTGCTGTGACAACTATAGAATTATTTAGAGTGTCTTCACACTCAATGGATGATGTTCTGGTCTCTGTGCCCGGTATATCTTCTTCATATTTGACTTTATGGTACCCTTTTGCCTTGAATGTATAAGCTTCAACTAATTTGACTATAATGCTCTTTATTACCACTTGGCTATTGTTTTGCACCTCATAATGCACTTCAAACTTGCCACCAACTGGTACTGCAGAGTTGAGAATAGTTGCTTTTATGTTAACAATGCTGTCACTAAATGAAAATAAATGGGTGAGATTCTTGGTTTCTCCATAAATAACAGGTTCCCTTGACAATCTTGGAGCCACTTCAGACTTCACTTGGATTGTCTTTCTAAAATGATTATTAAAAACAAACAAGCCCGGTTTTTCGAATTTTATTCGTATATAGTACTTGATAGAGCATTTAACTTTATATCCTGGAAAATATTTAAAGAATTTTAAACTTGAAGGCAAAATTTGAGGCAAATTATAGTTAAATTTAATTTGATATAAACCAACAGCAATTTCTTTATGTTCATCTATAATTATAGTATCTATGTCAACATAGCTTTCTTCAGAAACAAAATTTGATTCATGTTTGCCTGGGTTACTTGTTAAAACTATGCGACCAATACCTTTCAGTGTCATGATAACCTTATCAACTTCCATAGGTTCGTCTACATTATATTTAATTACACCTGATACTGTCTGACCTGGTTTATAAACTCCATCAGATGGTTTAAATAAACTTATCTCACAAAATATGCCCATTATAATCAATTGTACACAAAGTATATAATACTATTTAGATATAATAACAATATTTAAAAAACTTAATTTTGCAGCAATAAAATATGATGTAACTTCACATTAATTCTTAAAATATAATTTATAAATTTCCTGCAAAAATGATACAATAGGTACATTAAAAATACCTCATATTAAAAACTAGTAAGACTGAGGATACCTTTAGGTAATCTATATATTTTAATATTAATAAACAACTATTTTATTTTGAAGATGATTGGCATATACATACAAGTTATAGTAATTTTTTTGTTTACAAATTCATAGTCATCACGCAATTTCTATTTATAAAATTTGGTGAGAACGTCATAGAAATCTACAAATCTAGAAGATATCAGAGCTGAAAAGCACCTATAAGTCATGATCCATGATATGTCCAATTTGCTTTTATAAGTTCAGAAAAAATAGATATTGTGTTGTTACTGTTATTTTGGAACCGCGGTAAGGAATATTCCTTTTACGTCTTGGCTAAACTTTTTGGTAAGCAAAATTATAACAATTTTGAACGAGTTCAATAAGACCCCTTTTGTTTGCTATTTTTTTACTTCTATTTTGAAGCACATAGGTATACGAGTCACTTTTAACTTCCTTTAATTTCAATACATAAAAATACTTTTTCATAATACGATTTAACTCGATTTCAGTTTGACATCAGCGGTGCGCTTGGTGTTGCCGAGCTGTGACTGTAGAAATATTTTGTAGCTTGGTACAAAAAAACCTGGTTTTGCAAATATATTTAAAAGAATGTGCGCGTACACTTTTTCTTATTTTGATAGCAATTTGATGTTTATGAATAAAATATTTTGATTCATTTGATTGGTTGATTGCTTAAAATCTGTATACACGTTTGGTTAAGTAGAATAAATTGCCGTCTTTATAAGTAAATATCAGCCTAGAGAACTTGTGCCAGTGTAGCACAAAGCAAAAACTCAGTTTTGCTATCGGAATATCTATTAAAGAAATCCTAATTACAGGCTCCCTTTTTTTTAAGAGTATAGTAAAATAAATTATTTACTTTAGGGTGATCCATATCTGAAGAAAAAACCCTGACGGATTTCTTGTCATAGGTCCTACAAAAATCTACAGAAGTTATTAAGTAGGTATACTGTAAATACTAGTAGTCATTTTTTTATGTTAGAGGGGGCAGCTGAGCAGATCGGTCACCTGATGGAAAATGATCATCGCTGACCGTGAACGTCTGCAACTAAGGAGTCACAAAGTGTACGCCTTTTAGGACGGAGTACGCTCTTTTCTTGAATTATTTTTTCTTTGTGGTTAATATAATATAACGCCTTCGGGAGCGTCTAAGGTTCTAGGGTCGACTACTGCGAAAGAAATACATCATTGTGGTCCTGACGTGACTCATGACGTGTTGCGATATTCTGGTAGTTATTTTATTAACTTACTGAAAAATGGGAATACTATAGTTTAGATTTAATTTCATCTTTAGTCTTATTGTTTGATCTTAACCTAAGACAACAAGGTAACCCAAATTCGTTTCAGTATAAATAAAGTATTAGTTTCAGTTTGAGCTAATTGAACATGTTCCTATAGATTTAATCACTTACATTTTTAATAACAATATATAATAACTTTAAAATTATATAACACCTATAAATTATTGTCTGTTGAGATATATTTAGTGAGTTGGACTTATTGTCAATTTTAGATATTAGAAATTAAAGATATTAAATTATATAAGATAGGTCAGTTACGATGTTTATAAAAACAACTAAATACTGCTATTTACGATAATTATACAATGACATGATTACAGAAATAGGATGGGAACATTTATAGAAAACAGTGTTCTCTGAGTCTACATACCGAGATTGAAATTGAAAGGTACAATACGTACATAACTATATCTACTAATGCTCCTCTAGGATCTGAGCTGATTATGAAGTTTACAAAAAGCTTAACATATTAATAAAATGACAGGTTCTGTGTGTTACACTGGTTAGCTAGGAACTTTACACACTAGGATATCAAGATTCACGCTGAGCGCAACGTCTTTATGATTATATAAAACATAAACATATAGACACGCCTAAAGAAAGCACAGGTGGCACGTCGAGTCACTTATCACTTAAATTAATCAGTATCTAATGTAATCACATTACATCCACTATTTCACACAAATGAGTTAAACTCAGCATGGTAAAAACTACTGGTCCTGTATCGGATAAATATAATATTTCCAGATTAACTTTGACAAAGTTTGAACAGGATCTAATTAATTAACGATATTGATTACCTTTAAATTTCTACCCAATCGTAGCAACAATGAACTTATGATACAGCACTCTCTTCGTCAGAATGTGGTCTTCTCTTAAACAGTTTTGTTGTGTCAGTTTCATCATCACTGTCAACGCCATATTCTTCATTCGCTTCACCCATAACTTCCCAATACGACGGAGGTAGGTTATCACTATTTATATCTTCATTTGTCACTTCAGTCCTATTTACATTTAAATTTTCTTCAAAGATTCCAATCTGCACAGGAACATCAAGAATTACATTCTTATATGGTATGGGTAACTGAGCTGTTATCCTTACTCGATAAAATCTAGCAACTATCATGGTATTTTCTACATTATACAAACCACTAGGTACATCAATACTTATGGTCCTATTTTGAGTCTCTTGACAATTAATGGGCAGAGTTTGAGCCTCAGTATCTGGCACAGCTTCTCCATATATCACTTTGCGATGACCTTTTGACTTAAATAGGTATCCTTGTACCAATTGGGTTGTAGTGGTTTTAATTACAACGTGACTATTATTCTGTACTTCATATCTCAGTTCGATTTTGCCCTCCATCGGTATTACGGAATTGAGAATAGTTGCGTTGATGGTAATTATGCTGTCTTGTTTGGTAAACAAACGCAACAACTTCTTGTTTTCTGTATAAACTGCTGGTTCTCTCGGTAAAGTTGGAACTGTTTTAGAAAGGACATCAACTTCTTTTCTAAAATGTTTGTTGAAAGCGAAAACACCGGGCCTCTCAAATTTAATGCGAATATAATATTTAATGAAGCATTTGACTTTATAACTTTTGAATTTAAATGCTTTGCGCGCTTTCATTGTCGAAGGTATGTTTCCAGGTAAAGTATATCTGAATTTAATTTCATAAGAACCAACTGAAATCTGTTTTTTTTCACCAATAATAACAGTGTCTACATCAATGTACGATGTCGTAGTTTTGTACGTTCTTTCCCAAGTAGATCCGTGATCGGCTGTTATAGCTATGTAACCAATACCTTTCAGGGATGTTACGATCTTATCAACTGTCATAGGTTCGTCAACAGAATATTTTATGACTCCTGATACATTTTGGCCTGAATAATAAACCCCATTTACGGGTTTAAATAGATGTATCTCGCAAGATATGCCCATTGCTGTCACTACTTTAGGCTGTGATTAGTTAATTAAACTCTTTCTTTCTTCGTCTATGAAGAAACAACACAAAATGTTACTTCGGAGGCAGTTCTCAAAAAGACTTTCTTGTTCAGAAAATATTTCAAATTAATTCTATCCTTTTTGAATATCGACGATTTCAACTAATACCCTGTCGATGGGGACTAGATGCAAATATCGACGTCCGTACACTGAAACAAGTAGATAATTTAGGTATATAAATTATTTATTCACATATTCCAACTATTTGAAATAATACACAGACTACCCCCTAATAGATTCCGCATACAGGGCAACAAAGGTGCGCAACACATACTTTCTGTAGCTAGCATACGACGTGACGCTAAGAATCACGACATTAGTAACGACCAAGTTCGTGACCCGTATGCACGTCCGAGTTCTTGAGAATTTAAAATAGTTTTATATCAAAATATATTAGAAATTGCTTCCTGTCATGTCAAATGGTGTGGCAAGTCAGTTAAGACATCCAGTTATCAAAAGATGATATAATAAATCGTCGGTAAGTAAATTATTTTCTTAAAACGTTAACCTATTTCAAATGCACCGGAGTTCAACTTATAATGGGGCAAAGTAATAACAATTAAGCACCCGTTGATGTATTTTTGAAATCTTCCTCACTCAAAACGTAAATTACAACAGGTGTCTTCGTCTAATGAGAGCGTGTGTATCGATAGTGTTGTGGTTTATAGGTCTATATTTGATTTGATTTGATTGATTTTTTATTTCATTTAAGTCATTACTTTGTAAAAATAGTGGCGTATCATTGTGGTATATGTTACTAGTTCCTAAGTTCCTAAGTGCCCCTAAAGATGTCGACGCGAATTGTCGAGGGGATGATTGGTTTTCTACCAAAATGGTGTGATATGCCCAAGACACTTCACAGAAGACAATCTTCATATTACGAAAAACCCGTTGAAGGCTGCTGGAAGATAAGGAAGACGGATCCTAAGGATTCTGCGACACGTATTTACTAAGCTCATTAATTTTAAAATTCAGTGAAATATGTATTTAAAAATCAAATATACAAATCTGTGTCTCCTGTGATGAGTAATTTAAGTCGAGTTTTTGTAATATTTGCATAGAAATATTCAGAAAAAGACTTTTCTGTCTAACTCACGATCTTTTATCTACTATAGTTTCGGAGATGATTTTGTGCAAAGTGATATAACTGGCAGGATTTTTACAACCTCTATAAATAATTCCAGCACACACTATCTTTCGTGCTTCGTGGTATAAGTGCGATTATATTAATTTTCACTATATTTATCGTGAATATCGATATAATTACAGTTATGAAATTTGAACAGATCCTAATCTAAATTCTAAATAAAAAATCCGAATCTAAAAGTCCAAGATTTCAGCAAAATTATACCATTCAGCCAAATTATGAAAACAGGAAATCGATAAGTAAAAAAATCTAATCTTTGGGTAGTATTTTTATCATTTCTTTGAACCACTTTGCGCTACAAACATATCCTAATGAGTTATTAGATATTTGTACTTAACAAATATATTTTTTTCCAAGTTTTTTTTTACCAGCTTATAGGTGCAACATAATTTAATTGGACTTGTATGATTTATCACATCATTTCAGCATATATTAGAAACGAAAAGGCATAACTCAGGTTTTTCAAAAATTATTTTAAAAGTTTAATATTTACCACAAATATTTAAATGTACAGTAAAAGTGAATGTTTTTATCTACAAATAAGGTACTCGAATTTATTCTAGCTTACTTAGATCGCGACCTAGAATTTTTAAATCTTGTTTTTGTTCTCATGTAAAGAATTGTTTTTTTTTACTAGTATCATTTTTCACAGGAGACACAGAAATATATTTACTTTGTTTCATTTTTTTTGAAAAATATCAAACAAACATCAATATAATTCATCATCATCATCAACAGCCTTTACTAGTCCACTGCTGGACATGGGCCTCTCCTCAGAAAGAGGGTTATAATTATTTATCAATAAATCAAGAATAAAATAAATGTCAATAATTCAGATCATCAAACTATTTTATCGTCTCAACCCTGTCCCATCACTGTTTCGGTGCATTCTAAATTTGACTGAAATATCCAATCAGAGCTCATTTGACACGTACCCCGCAATCCTTGCATACCGCCTAATTTTGTGAACTCGAATCGGAACAAATATTCAATAATGCGGAATCCATTAGGGGGTAATCTGTGCAAGAATACTAATTTCAGTTAGTAGGCGAGTTAAGTAGGTTAGGTACCTAATTAAGCCATAAAAAGATGAAATATTTGAATTTTGAAGGAAATACATTTTGAACAGATATTATCTAGGTACCTCACAAAATATGTACCTATAGAATTGACAGTGCGAAGGGCGGGAGAACTTGGCAAACTTTGCTCTGCATTAAAATCGTGCGCCTATTAATGTGTAAAGGAGGAATCCGTTATCTGATGCGCCCTAATGCACTTTTCCGCGCAAAGCTCGTTGATTGCCAGGTCAATCTCAATCACTTTACTTACTACGGTTATTTACACAACATTTTAATACATCAAACAATTTCAAGTATGGCATGCACTATAGTAATAAAGGCAAATTTAAGCCATATGAACTTATTTTTAACTTTCTGGTTGCAAAAATAATTTAAAACCATATTTATAAATTACTACGTGAAAACTAGAGGGAAGGGGGTGTGGTCTTGGTGGCTACTCACAGATTACCCCCTAATAGATACCGCATTATTGAGTATTTGTACTGATTCGAGTTCACAAAATTTGGTGGTATGCGAGGATTGCGTGGGACGTATCAAATGCGCTGTGATTTGATATTACTTGGAATGCACCGAACCATAGTGATGGGACAGGGTCGGGACGTTGATCGATAAATTTGGTTGCATGATCTGAATTATTATTGATATTCATTTTATTTTCGATTTGTTGGTCATTAATAAATAAATATATTACTCAATGTTTACTTACTTTCAGCGGCGAACGAGCAATCTATAATACATATTCGGTTCTTTTATAACATTAACATTTAGGTACTCATTATACGTTTATCTACCGATTTATACAAATTTAAATCATGTCACTAATGTTTATTATAATCATACGCTCAATAATATAATATAATCTAATATATAATATAATCAATCGCTTTTTTAGACAATGTGCCTGTCACCGGAATTTCCGTATTTATAGCTACAATATCTGCAGTTACACTTATCGTAGAGGCGGGTGCCTAAAAGTAGTATTACTAATTAAAACACCATACGGTAGGTTTTTCAAATTTAGATGTAATTGTAATAGTATTAAGATATTATTGAAGTTCACGTGACACTAAAAAAGCAAGTCAAAACAATAATCACATTTCATGGAAATTAAACTACTTTTTTAGGGGTTATTACTTTTACATGTTTTATGATTTATAAATCCGTTAAAAAGAGTTTAATTTCGACGTATCATGTTTCACTCAATCACTTACTGCTATTATTGTGTAATCTACATTGGTACTTATCTTTGAAAAAAATTGAAAGTATAGAGATGGTAAAGCGGAATCCAACGGCCTTCTACGGTTTTTCATATAACGAAAATTATCTTCTGTGAAGTGTCAATCGTCCCCTCGATAAGTTGCATCTATGTTATAGCTATAATAAGTTTGTGTTGAGCGTCTTTGTGGCCCTGTATGCGGAATCTATTAGGGGGTAATCTGTGTATCTACTACAGGTGGTCGCCGTCGAGGGGGGGGGGGGGGGGGGGGGGGGCGTATGCCAAGACATTGGTCAATATTGTTTACGTAGTTGGGTTCATTCCGTTATCTGCATGCACAACTGCCAGCCTATTACAATGTATACAAGGCTATTGTAATTTGAATTTGAGGCTGTCAAAACGTTAATTAAACTGTTATCGACGTCTATATTTACTATACTGAACAACTACAATTTTTTACACAACTCATCTACACAACTAATATTTTTTTCGAAATTGCGTTATATACATAACTAATAACAATCAGGAATAAAATCTGCAAGTATTTTTTTTATGATTTTACAAATACAAAATCATGACGTATACGTACATACTTACCTACTCTGGGTACCTACTCTATGTGATTAAACTGGATTTTTAACTTTTTGCATTTTTGTTTCCAATTACATTCTTAATAGTTTATTATACTTTTGTGCCTGATAGGCGCCCAAAATGTAAGTATATATTAAAGTGTTTAATATATACATTGTTAAAGGTTTAAATTTATTTTTAGTATGGTGAAAACTAATCAAGTGTACTAATGTTTTTGAAAGCTGAAGATTAAAAATGTTTCCCCTCACTTAAAATGAGAATCCGGGAGTTGACAACTCTTCAAAAATAATTTTGAATGCTCCATGTGCTTAAAATAATAGCCTTAAAACCTAACCTAACTTAAAAGTAACATTTAATTCATAATTTTGACCTTAAATCATAGAAAAGCATCGTTTTAATTTAAATGTTTCTTAAATTATTATTTGTATTTTCGCGCCAACTAAAAGCAAAACTCTTAACTTTCTTTCCATCAATTAGATATATTATTTTAGACTTTCTATCAATATCTATTAATAATTATTTCCAATTTTTTAAATAAATAGCAGATTGATCTATCTTTTAGAATGACAATTACATTTTTGAGTTTATGGGTACCTACCTATTTCAATTTGTTTTTCATTTGATTCACTCATAACAATATTAATACCTGCCTGTTAATTCTGTTTTAAGTCCTTAACCATTTTATGGGTCCAGCTTCGGAGCTATAAATTTTAGGATGAAAAGTTCTATTCTTTTGGAACACTATATTATGACATTGTAAGTTAAAGATAATACTTAATAATAACTTTACACATCTCACACACGGCAGTCTGGCTGGTACCAAATTAGGCAGAGCCTGTATCAGCAAATAGGTTGCTATAAAGCAACCTATTTGCTGATAAACATACCTATATATGATGTGCCTGTTGGTCTAATGTTTAGCGACCCTGACTGCTAAGCCGGGGGTCGCGGGTTCGATCCCCAGCCAGGACAAGTATTGTGTGATGAGCATGGTTATTTGTTCTGTGTCTAGGTGTAATTTATCTATACTATGTATGTATTTAGAAATATATAAGTATGTTTATCAGCAGTATTGTCTGGACCCATAAAATGGTTAAGGACTTAAAACAGAATTAACAGGTTGGTATTAATACTGTTGAGTGAACAAATTAAAAAAAAAATTGAAATACCCATAAACTCAAAAATGTAATCTGTCATTCTAAAAGATAGATCAATCTGCGATTTATTTCAGATCAGACTGCCGTGTGTAAGATGTGTAAGGTATATTATTTTTTATTTTATTTTTTCCATGCGGGCCAAAACCAAGTAAATACAGTAAGGTGTGTGTTTTGGTTATTTAGATGTAAATGGTGGCTGCTGTGTGTTGTGCTGTTTCGGTTTCTTCAATATTCATAAACTTTCTGACTGTTCGGCATGTGTTTAATATTGCTGCTTTCCGTAGGATTATATACACAGATTCATTAAAATTTATTAATATAATTAATTTAAGGCTATTTTGAAAGTGTTTAGGTATAACTCTATTATTATATTTCTTAATACATACATATTATAGATAAATTACACCCAGATACAGAACAAATAATTGTGTTCATAGCACAGTATTTGTCCTGGGTGAGAATCAAACCAACAAAGCATAATGCGAAGAATATGGAAGAACTTGACGATGTTTGATTAGAGTAAAGTTTTATTTTTAATTTATTTATAACCAGCTTTCCTTTCTAGCTTTACTCATGTTACTGTAGAATTTGTTAAGAATTGTTGAAAATTATTTTTGTATTCCCAGTGCATTTCAAAATTTTCAGGATGATTTTAATTACTGCTAAGGTCTGAATATGTAACTCAAACTTATCAAACTCTTACTGGTATTTATATTATTAATTTTTTATTTATTATCTAAGGTACCAAATTATAATTCTATTTTGTAATTTTTTGTAACACTAAAAGTTAAATAATAATAAGTAATAAATATTGTCTAGGACTTATTTTGTAAAAGAAGAATCTAAGCATGGCAAGATAAAAGTTCCCGAGATTCATTATTTATCCAAGATTTAATTAGACTGCACAGATGGCATAGTGGTTTAATTGGTCGGTACTACTATGCTGAGTGTTCGATCCTCACATGGGAAGACAATTTGTGTGATGTACAAATTGTTGTTCTAAGTCTGGGTGTTCTTTGTGTCCGTTTCATGGTTGTTTGTAAAGTACCCCATGACACGATATATTCCTAAAAGTTGTCTTTTTAAAAGTAAGCGAGTGAGAGAATACTGCTTGAATTAAATGCCATATTCAGACAGATAGTTCTATGGGAGACTATTCCATTTTTAAACCATTTTTGTTAATATTCTATCACATATCTAATAATTCTGTATTTGAAGGCTCAATTAGAATACTGTAGTGGTCATAGAGTAGCCTTATATTTTTTTGCGAGTTATACTATTCTATGCACTCTGTTAAAATATAAAAACCACATTTTAAAAACCTAGCTTACTTATCATACTGGATTATTTTAAATGTATATCCTCTTTGCTTATTAATACCTACTTGACCAGCCATGAGTCACCAGGAACAACAACGGTTTTGAACTTATACATTGTGTAGGTAAGCGTAAGATTATAAATGAAATAATAATAATACCTTTAGCCAATCAGAACATCCCAGTACCGACACAAATCACAAAAGTTACAGTCAATGATAATGACTACAAAGATACTCAAACTTTAATAAAAGTTGGTCTAATCCAACACTGAAATAACAATAATGAACCCCAGAGACGTGTGGTCCTGGACTAGTCCTCTAACTAATGAAATACCATGATTGTAATTGGAACTGGGACGCTTAGTCACAACATGATAACAAACATTCAATAACAAAAGGGTGACCAGCATTGATTTTGTTTATCCACGGGACGACTTTAATGACAGAGTGTACATAAGTCTTTTAGGGTCTTCACTAAAAGTGAAATAACTGTAAGAAACGTTTTTTTAAAGTACTAAATAAGATTTTAGTTATTCTTCTTGCTAGGGGCTTAAGGGCTAACTTAAAGAAAAAAAAAAGCGAGCCTAACATTTGATGTGCAACGTCTGATATCTTACCTTTGTAATAATCAAGCGCGCTCATTGGTCAAATCAAATCGTATCCCCCTATTCTGGTTTCGCAGGAAAGCGAAAAGAAAGATGTCAGTACCTAATCAAAAATTTTGTCATTTACGATGTACTTGAAACACATTTCAACAGTGTAAATGGAGCTTCATAGCCTCTGGTGGGACGGCATGCGGGCTTGAAACAAAAGAACTAATTAAACAAGAACCCGCATGCACATACAATCACAATAACTTCACTTTATCCTGCAATCTCCACTGTATAGGTAACCCATTTTGGACTCTGTATAACTCAAAATTACACAAATATCGCTTTTACAGACTCCTGAAAATTCGTACCATGATTTTCTGAAACGCCTGCGTATTTTATTTTACCCAGAATTATTAGAAACCATTCTTGTTTTGACAACACTGGCGAATAGCATACAAACAGTCCGGCATAATGTAACTAACTTTTGACAGTCATTTGACATTACCAATTATATAAGTCAATTATACAAGGTTTTTTTTCAGTTTATACAGTATGTTGCATTTTGAATTTAAAATGTGAAATTGAGATATTATTTAAAAGTCTGTCACTATTATTTATTTATTATGGACTTTTAATTCATATCTCTTTTTGTATTTGTATGAAAATATGTAGGATAGTTAAAAGTTTCTCTCCTCTCTCCTCCTTAAAGTAAATAAGTGAAGTGCATAATTTTATTTTACTATTTTCTTCGTAATGTCTCCTAAATATTTTTTAAAGATAGCAATTAAGCAACCAACCTGAAATAACGAAGCAGAAATACGTTTTTGACGACGATTCCCCGTAAACGTTGAGGTACCTAAGTAAATGTTGTTAGTAGTTTGTTTTCAAGTATAATATTTTTAATGAAATACCTTAAATAAAAAAAAATACCTTAGTTAAAATGTTGAGCAAAACTTGTATGTATTACTTTTTTTTGTGACATCTCAGGTTAATCTTCGGTCCAAGTTTTAGAATTGCGCTCAGGATTCTTTCAACTTTATCAGTAACGGTGATAAATGGTAACAGAAATACCTGTGATGAACCATGACCCAGAATAGATATTATCTGGATTGGCTATAATTTCAGTAGAACATTTGTTTGCGACAACATAAATTTTTCAGAAATTATTATGTAATACTATTTGAGATTTTGCAGAGCAGATTTCTGAATAATTCTTGATGTATAGGTATACTGTAGAGTTTCTTACAAACGCACATACTTACCTACTTACAAACGATACTTGTTCAGAAGCCCCAGTCGATCATACGCGATCACATACAATTCATTGAAATCTAATCGACTTCGTAAAAATATATACGAACTTGGAACATATCGTCGATTCTCGACAGTCGTTTTCTGTTGCAAAGAATAAACAGTGCAAATCAGGAAATATTATAAAGAGAAACTTCAAACATAACAATGAAAACTTCAAAAATAAAATTAATATTTGTTTAGGTAACTATTTCTTAAAGTTCATGTTCAGGTTTTGCTTATACCTATCTCTTTAAAAATTATCCTTCAGTAAACCTCGACATAAGAATGCCTTTTTGATACTCTCTTTTTGTGTCTATTTGATGGTGCTTGATAGGATCTGTAAACTTTTGAGGCAGTATTTCATATTAAAGACGATATTAGGTAAATACCTACGTAACACAACAATCCCTATTGCTATGCACACATTAAACTCCTTGCAATTAATGCGACGCAGAAATGTACGAAGAAGCTCGAAACTCGTAGGTAGGTAATTGTTTTGTGTTTTCGTAGGTAAATATTCCAATTTATGTAAATGATCATTTAAATAAAATATAATAACACTGTGAAAACAAATCAAAAAAATATGTTTGAAACCATTGTTTATTTGCTGCGTTTATCTCAGTGAAGTGAATTAGGAATTTATTTTTAATTTGAACAAATATTAATAAGTTCGAACGTCTTTAGTTAGGTATATGCATATTACACCATATTAACCATCGCCGCCCATTAACGTCTGCAACGTCTGCTGGGTATACCATTACCAGGTGTACCAATTAATAGGGTAAGAAATAAGGATGTATCCACTTCTGTATATACATCCTTAGTTATATTTTGGTCTTACCTATTATTTGGATTTGCGGGCACTGCTTACTAAGAATTAAAAACAAAATCTGTCGGCGTCCCAATCGGAAATTCGAAAGAGTTGAATTATTGATGGCCATTCTTCCCTATTCCGTTGTAACATCATTGAACGCTAAGTCGATAATCTATTTTATTTTTATTTTGTGTAGTAAGGTCCTTTGTATAGTGTCCAAGATAGCTATAGATGTGTAATCCTATTTATAGCTTAAGAAACTTTTGTTGTGGATTGAAAGTAGTTTTCTAATGATGGTACCGTTTCCATATGTGTGTTCTTATGTATAAAGAGTAATTTAATTGATAGTGTTATCAATAATAATATAAGTGTATTATTTTATTCATATTTTCAAAATTAAACACTGAAGAAGTATGTTATGTCTTTATTCGTTTCATTTACAAATACTTATGTCTGTAATATAATATTTCGTGTAGAAAAATCGTATATCAACTAGAATGTTATGTTTGATCGTTTTGTAAGGCTTCTGAGGGAGAAATGGGCCTAGACCCGAAAGGATATAAATCTATACTTTGAACATGTGCTCTTACGGAGACCCCAGGTGGTACACCGAAGAAGTCTTCGCCTATATTTCTAATGATAGTAATACCAGGCCTATTTCGGTTTATGTTAAAGCCTACAGCATATTGTGGAGTATTACTGTTAGGGCCTTCGTCATCACTACTGTGACTGTCGTGGCTTTCGTGACTGTCGTGATTGTTGTGATTGCTAATGTCATGCGGTGTCTGGAAAGGTTTTAGCGGCACATACGGTTTCTTCGCCGGCCTATTAGGCGTGCTGGGTGGACGGCTGGGTTTGCCTGCAATTGTTGAATCATTTCAAATTTCCTTTATATTAATACTTTGTTCGGTGCGTATGTGCTGCGTGCCGCAAGGTGTTGGTGTAATAAAAACCAAATTGGTTACGTATAATATTTATTGCGTTAAGCAAATATAATAAATTATATTCGAGTGCATCTCCAGCCTTCGCAAGCGGATTGAATCGTGATCTTGTGTCACCTAATATTTACTTTTTGACTTTGGTTAGTATAGTTATCATAACTATTTATTTCTTAATATAATAGCAAGTAACTTATTTAGTAACCAAGTATTACACTCTTTAATAGAGTTGTGAGATTAAACTTTGAAAAGTTTAAAATCGGTTGGTATCACTCAAATCGGCTTCCTGAAGACACAATGTATTCAGACTATTTACTGACTAAGCAGTTTCTCATTGGTCTTGCAAGAAATGGGATTCAAGACATAAGTCTTTAAAGAACTAAAAACAAGATCACTAACATCAATCATTGCCGGTGTTATTCATCACCTGGTCCTTTTGTCGGTTGTGGGGGTCCAAACGATCCCGGAGGTCCAGAATCTTCATCAACGTAGCCTACGTCTTCAACAGGAGGGCTTTGCTCGAAGCTTGGGGGTGGATTGTAGGGGGTATCGCTTGCATCCTCGTTGCTAGTCTCGGGAGGGGCTTGGGCTGGCGAAGGAACATTGTTGCTTGGTCTTTCTGGCTCGCTTGTGGGGAATGGAGGAGGTTTTACGTGACCTGACGCGGCTGTGCCATCGGGTCCTAGGAAATTTATAAAGATTAGTTTTCAGGATACAAGCATAAATTTTACTGATTTGACTTAGGAACATTAAGTTATTTATATTGTGGTAATAAAAAATAAATAGACGAATATTTTTAGAGAAATGAATAAAAACTAGCTTTAAGCATCAATACGATTAGCACAGTTTTTAGATCCAGAGATTTCAGATCATTTCTTCTGGAAACTTTTTCAATTTTTTCTCTAGGTTTAATATGTAAAAAGTTTAAAGGTGTATTCACCTTATGAAATGCGTAAGGAATGTATTTTGTTCGGTAAATTCACTTAATCTGTATAATGCAATGAAAGAATTGTTTAAAGCTTATTTTGATCTGTGGGGTATTCACACCGGTCAATAAGTAGCCAAGACCCTCTCATAACTACTGGTGCTTAAAGTCCTTTTGTTCCACGTCCATGGAAAAACATCTCATATTAATATGTAAGACATTTAGTATTTTACCTTTGAATACATCCTCTGCTGAAGGAATTGGTGGTTTTCCTGTGCCATATTTGGAACCAGCGTTGACAAACTCAGGGTCGTAAGGACTCGGCAGGGTCGGGAAATACGGTGGGATATAAGGATCGTTGCTGTTCTTGACGATACGGTATCCGATACCAGGTCCGGCTATATAGTTTACCGTCCTGTTGGATACAGTTAATAAATTAATGTATTCCTTAAAATAATTTCAAAAATACTAATCTTAACGGTTAACGTGGGTCCGAATCCGAACAGTACGGAGGCAAATTAGTACAAGAATAATATGTAATAATAAGTTGACACCTCTCATACACGGCCGTCTGATCCCACACTAGGCAGAACCTGTGCTATGGTAACCAGACTGCTGATAAACATACTTATATATGTTTAAATACATACATATTATAGATAAATTACACCCAGAAACAGAACAAATGACTCATCACAGAACATTTTTTCTAGGTGGAAATCGAACTCACGACTCCGGTTTAGCAGTCAGGGCCACTAACCACTAGACCAACAGGCCCATCGACTTATTAGAGCATCCTATATTATAAATTTCATATCTTTTAACAACAAGTAAGTACCTTTGAACACCTTTGTCATCAAGGAAAGTGTATGATCCTCTGACATTACCCGCTGAGTCACTACTTTCTGTCCTCCTCTGGTCGGGGCCAGCTGATATGAACCTGTTAAAGAAGAAATAAAAAATGACGTTTGGAAACTCTAGTCGTTAGTACAGATAATACAGAAGCCCAGGCAAATCTCGAGAACTTGAAAGGTGACTATTTGAGGATCTACATAACTCTACACAGAAATTGACAGCATCGTTATCGATAGCAACCTAAACTCTAAGGATAGATTCACAAAATTTTATGAGCTGACCTTAGTCAACAACTACGTTGTGACAAAAATTAATTGTGTCACAATCACCAAGATTTGTGGAGAAATGTACGGTATCAGCATTTCGGTTTCTTCTTCGGTTCGAGCATTTCTTTTAAAAATTAAGTTCTTTTTTACATTAAATTTGTCTGCCCGCTGAAATACTAGTTTTCTTTTTCAAACAAGAGGGAAGGCCTAATTTGATAGCGTTAATTGTTTTCTTTTAATAGGTAGATCGACAGTTACAAGTATAACTATTATGGTAAGCAGTGAATACGAAAACGATAACAAACACTTAATTAGTATCTATCTGCCGGCAGACGCCTTTTAATTTAAGATTCAATTTTAGTACTCCATTATTCTACATTTCAAATTTACCAACTTCGCCTAATTTAAATAAAGTACAGACACAAATATTAAACTACCAAATCACAGAAACTTACTATAGTGAACCACAACGAGTTTACTTTGCTTCCATAAACTTGTATATCACCAGTATATTTGTTGGGCTTAGTCCCAACACTGACTAAAAGCCATATTTAATTAACTCTATAAATCTCTGGCGTAATCAATAATCACGCATGACCTCGAAAACCCCGTTGCGTCAATAATAGCAAACTATGACTACCATGATATACAAATCTATAATAAAAACTTCATTATCAAAAGTAAACCTAAAAACAAAATTGAAACAACACTTTCTTCAATATTAAATCGCATATTTTTATACCTTTTTTTTTTTATTTTTTTTCCGTGCGGAAATCCCCTCAGATACCACCTATCGGTGGCATGTCGGACTCGAACCAACTAAAACCACACGCCGTCTCGGGTACTAATAGCCGGGGAACCAGGTATACCCTAGAAAGGAAGTCCCTGGTGCCCCGACATACCTCGGGCCATCTACGACAACAGGTAGTGTGGGAACCCCATGTGCCACCACCCCGGCCTGCTTCTGCTAGGGTGACAGATGGCCGCACCTGTCACCCCCAGGCCTGCGCTTATGGAGGACGGAGGTCGTTCTGCGACCTCCGGCGCCTGAGTGGCCTGGCGGGCCGGGAGAGTCCTATACCTCTCCCAGCCCGCCAGGCACTCTCGCTCCGCACGATAGCCGCAATCAGGCTATCGAGCGAGAGAACTCCCACTCCGATGGCCGCTACGAGGTCTCGCCTCTGCTCAACCCACGCCGGGCACTCTGCCAGCGTACGGAGAGCCGTGTCCACGGTCTGGCCATCGCAGTGGTGGCACTCAGGCGTTAGCTCCTTGCGGATCAGACACAGGTGATCCCCGAAACATCCTTTCCCAGTGATCACCTGCGTCAGTCGGTATGAGAGGGTCCCGTGACGCCTCTCGAGCCAATCCTCCATAACGGGTCTTACCGACGCGATGACGGCGTGCCCGGCGCTCGGTTGCCCGATGACCTGGCGGAGTTGGGATTACCGGTCATAGATTTCTCGAATCTCGGAACACCGACCCAACTCCCGCGCCTCCTTGCGCTACTGATACAGAGCCGCAAGGGCTCTCGCCTCCAGGTCCCCCTTATGATCCTGATGGCCAGCACTCGCTGCGGTCGTCGCAGTATCGCGACGTTGCTGGCCTTCAGGGCCCCCGCCCATACTGGGCACCCATAAAGGGCCATATTTTTATACCCTGGAACAACCTGTATAGTGTAGAACCACTGACGCGCGGTCGATGTGACCATTGCGCACTGCGTAGACGCTTAGGTATTTAAAAGGAGCCTGTTCAAAATATATATATGTTGTATAAATATTATATATGTTTCCTTCAATGATGTTGTTGTACAAATGTTATAATTTACAAAACTTGTACGTACAATATATAAAATCTCCAACATAAGATTTAAAAAAATGCCTTACCGATATGATCCATCTCTTCCTCTTTGAACTGCGGTCCTACCTCTAGCCTTCTTCTCTCCTCTCACTAATGGAACTCTATGAAATGGGGATCCAATAATACCAGGGTTATCAGGATGTGCTGACGACACATGGAACCCTGTGTCACGCCCCGCAATGTATGACACCTCGTGCCGTTCTCCCACATCGTCGACGAATGAATAGTGACCTGGACGTGGAAAATACTGTAGCAGTATCTAGATTCTTGATAAATTAGGGAACACATTGGAAAAGTGAGCAAACTACCACTTTTGCTTAAGCTATCCTGCAGAGCACATGTTTTAGAAAAAAAAATCCATTTGTGATTTGTTCTTTCTTTCAAAATCTTCTTTCGTAATATTTTTCGAAAGAGAGGCCCGAGTCAGACTATTTCCTTTTTTTATAAAAACTCTGAGATGTACATAGGATTTGCCTTTTCTGTTGACTGCTTTATGAAGGTACAAGTACCATTAAGTGTATGCAGTGCTTAGACTGTCATTTAAAAGCAGTCTTTGATGAAATAGTATTTTTTTTTAATTCGTCATTCATTGCCATTGCAATTCGTCATTGATTCTACATTCATTGCAAAAAATATTGCTCGCCTTTTAAATTCGCCAACAATAAAAACTACTAACCTGTCACATCCCCTCTACTGTCGGCATTCTCATTTTTTGTATATGTCCGTGTGTCAATTTTGAAAGAGTAGCTAGGATCCTCGCTGGGGTCAAAGTAAGGGTCGTCTTTATTACCAATATTCCCTCGAGGCCGCTGATCTAGATCCATTTTTCGGTGGATATTAGGACCCTTTGCACGAAAGCTAGAGATGATAAACAAATTTACATCTAGGTTAATATTATTTTTAAAGGACCTTTTTGGTGATATCGAAATATGTATGGAGATTCGTATGCTGTTACTGTAACATCATTTTTGTTCTATTACCAAGTTAGTAACTAGAATAGAATTGCGCTCGGTTGACGTCTGTTTTCTCACAGAGTAGTATGAGATGAAGGAAAGATAAGAAATAAAGGAAAATAGTAGTAAAACTTTGCTCTGAAATTAAAAACAAAATTGTAAAAATCAATGACCGCGTGAGACTTGCTTTTCTGAAATTTAGAAGAACATTTAGTATCTACCAAGTAGTTTTTCGTGTTTCCGCTAGCTCTGAAAATACAGATTCTGTCTGTGATTCTGATTTACTGTCTTTTAAGGTGATTCTGAAGTCAATAATGTAATTTGCTTTTGATAGATCTGCCTCCTCTCGACAATCGTAATATAAATGTCTAGTTAATATAAATGGAAATTGTACCGTAGCTACCTTTGAATTTAGACGTGATCCTCAGATTTATTTAAACGATGGAAACAAAACAATGACAACAAAATCTTAACAAAATCATCAGAATTAACACACAGGAATGTTAAAAAATCTTATTGTAAAAAATTTTTGGGCAACTCTTTAATACGTTTGAGTGCTTGATATTTATCTGATTTTGTATAATGAATTCAACGTGCTTTTTGATACGGTTTTCGTTCATACGAATTCTGGTAGAATTTACGCCTATTTAAGTTGTTTTAATACAATAAATATGCAATCAGGCTATCCAGCGTGTCAGAATTTGGACTACAGTTCATTAAATTTGAATGCTTTGTTACATATCGTGGCCGATAAAATGTATACAAATACACTTTCCGTACTATGAAAAGTCAACATATGCATGTATTATCCCCCTTTAGTTTATTTATTTTTTCGTGCGGAACTTTCCTCAGATACCACCCACCAGTGGTGTGATTATGTCGGACTCGAACGGACCAAAAACCGCACGCCGTCTCCAGGCACCAGTAGCCAGGTATACCTTAGAAAGGAAAGCCCTGGTACTATACTGTCCACCTGTAGATTTCTGTAAAATTTTTAGAAAGGAGGTTTTGGCCTACTATGTAGCGGTACTATATTGGTATAGGGCTTGCGTCAAGATTTCCTTCTCTTTTCAGTGCTGTTGTCCTAAATAGTTTACTCCCTAAATCGGCTTTAGATGTAACTAGCCAATGGACTACGATACTGCATATATTTTACACGTAAGTCCTAAATGCATCCGCAAATTAAGAATTACAGAATTAATATTTCAAACAATTTTAAAAACTCACCCTCTAGGCCCCGCCGTATATACAGTCTCTTTTACAACATCTGTGCCAGGTTCCTTGGCTCCGAACCTTCCTCCGACAAGTCCGTTGGTGTTGCCATGTGCTAAATGGTAGCTTGCCCCCCGGTCTTTGTTTGCGTACCTACGATCAGATAGCATTCATACAGTGGCCTTACTGATTAGTTACCTGTACACCATTATAATGACAATAAAAAAAAAACTTGACAATAAACGCCTTCCTAATCCTACTGTTGATTAAGACGTATGTAAGAAAAAGTTAATTACCTGTTATTTATTAAATCCTTAAAAAATCTGCTTATAACATTTTTTTTTTAAATTAAACGATGATATTCACTATCCTATATTAAAGAATAATATTATAAAGATAAAATATGAAGTAAAATTTACCGTTCATTTTGAAATTTGAGACATGCTTTGTCTCAAATTTAAATAATCATCTAAAATAATAATATTCCAATTAAAGTATTCATATTTTTGAAACAAAATTTAGCTTAAAAAACATTCAAATTGTTGGGTATTTTGGAAATTACCAAATTATATAACACATTAATTTTTAACTTCAAATATAATTCATTAGATAAATTGTATTCTTAGTTACGTTTTATCAATTTAATTATTAGTCTATAAAAAATCTAAGAATTTCAATTTTCAATTTCAATCAAATAGAATTATGAGAATCTTTAAAAAAAAATGTTGTCCGGTAAAAAAACTCCGAAAAAAAAATTACCCAAAATCAAAGGATCCATCAGGATTCACATTGTTATAATCTCCATCACTGACACGAGCTTTTCCCGGTATTACCTGAGTCCTTGCTATCGCACACATACACACTACATACACACTCTTAATGGTCCAATACATGTTCACTATTTTTCTTTATTGCATCACACACTTATCCAGTTGTTTATTCGTATGAGTTTTGGTTCACTGTGCGGGTAAAAAACAATGTGTGCCTTATATACGGCGGTAAAAATGAGCGTTCGGTGGAAGCCTACCGCGTGAAAATGGGCGGACGTCATTGTTATTATTATAAGACTCTTGAGCCACACAAAGCTACTAAGATTAGCTGTAAGATTTTAATAATAAAATTTGCTTATGTGTAAACCACTTAACCTTTTACCTGTTGGTATAGTTGTCAGTCACCCTGACTGCTAAGCCGAAGGTTGTGGGTTCGATTGATGTGATAAGCGCGATTTTTTATTCTGTGTCTGGGTGATGCTGCTTTATCGTCAAAGTGAGTAGTAAAATTATGTCAAAATACTTACTTGTAATTCTAAATAAACATGTTTATGTCAAAAATCGCTAATTAAAAAAGTATAATGAGTATTTTCTATATTATATATTGATGAAGTATAACAGACCTAAACCTCCTTTCCGAGGAAAGGCCTATGTCCAGCAGTGGACTATTAAAGGTTGTTGATGATGATGATAACAGACAACAAAATTCTGTAAGTATGTGCTAGTGATGTGCCGGATATCCGTATCCGTATCCGTATCCGCGGATATCCAAGGGAGAAGAGAGATCCGTAACCGTATCCGTATCCGTGACTTTATTGGCGGATTTTGGCGGATCTTTCATAGATGAAATTCTGTATAGGTGATTTTGTATTCACTGTAAAACTCTTAGGTATGTGTTTGTAACACTATAAACAGCAACTTTTTTTTCTGGCCAACGTCAAAATGAAAAAAAATTGGTCCATTCAAATGACCAATCAATGTTGTTAGTTTGTATGGAGAAACAATTTTTTTTCTTTCGTTTTCGGCGTTAGTCCAGAAGAAAAGTTGTTGTTTATAATGTTACTAATATGCACTTCAGAGGTTTTCAGTAAATTTAAAATAACCCTGAATAATGGTTATTAGGTAGCCATGAAAAACTATTGAATTCTGTTCAAATTACTTTTTATTTCTTAAAACAAATATTTGGCACCTTTGTATTGCAATCATTTCTCGTACTACACTAAATCAACTAGGCAGGTCGTTGGTACTGAAAGAGCTATCTTTATAATGAGATCAATCAATTTTAAGGGATGTTTCACTGATAAGATAATGAAAGTAGCATTGTTTAAATTTTAATGTGTAAATACTATTACTAATGAATACCATATCTAAACTATACATATGTTAAGTATATGTATACGTATACGAAGTAATTATACAAAATATAATTCCTATACTAATACAAATTTACACATATTTTTGTTAATATATATATATATATATGTGTATATGTATGTATAAAAAAAAAAACAAATGATTGGCAATATTATGTATAGAACACTACATATAATATTCTGGGCCTTCTATGTTTAGTCTAAATATACATAAAAGCAGTACACTCCACTTATGTATAATTATATAACATATTATTTACTTATAAAACATATTACATTGCTGGTGTCACTATAATAAGAAATAAAATGTTTGACATCAATCTACAGGTACGTGTCACTAAGTCATAGGCCTTAACAAACATGCATTGTTTTGTGCACCAACATTCTTGAACTCACAGCTTTATAGAAAATATTTAATCTACCCGACTCACAAAAAACTTTTCACAACTACCTTACTAACTACGCTAATTAGGTAATATATTTTTGTTTAGTATTGTATTTTTCTCTGCAAGTGATTAATTGTAATCTTTTGAGAAAAATAAATGTCTTTAACCGTAATCAAACATCTTTGTATTAGCTTATTAAAATAATGAAATATTTAAATATCAACGGCAAAGCGTCAAGTGGCGACAACAATCAAGGTCACGGGCTCCGATTGAGTAAGAAACTTAAGATCCGTATCCGTATCCGTATCCGCGGATCTTGACACTAAATATCCGTATTCGGATCCGTATCCGCGGATATACTTTGTTAACGATCCGGCACATCACTAGTATGTGCTACTGAAATATTCGAATTTGATTGATATTTCTGATTAAACGTTTTTATTCTAATGTGAGTCAAAGATCAGATATCAGATTAATTTCATTTAAGTATTATAAGCAAATAAATTCTTTGATTTTGAACATTATGTTGGTTATGTATTTGCACAAAACCTTTTAATATTTTTTATCCAATTCATAATTCTCTATGTAATTTAAGAGTACGGCCTGATTCGGATCTAACTTGTCTATTCGGCTTGCAATTCTAGTCTATCAGGAGTTTACAATGTGGATGAGCCCTGCTCATATGGGCCTGATCAACGAAAACCTGTCTTTAGCATTTCTTTCCGAGTCAACCCAGTCCCCTTCTTAATCCTGGGGCCATTCAAAAAGCGGAAGTAGTCGCTAATCACCAGGTGACCCATCGAGCTTTCTAATCTAAAGGGGGGGGGGGGAGGTTAGGGGGGAGAAGCTATAGTTTAAAAAAGACAAGACAGCAGCATTTATATCTTCGCTATAGCTTATCTATAGGTGAACTAGAACCTGTGCAGGAGATGAAGCCACTACAGAAACAAGGGCCGCTACATCCTCTAATTGCTACAAGGAACTAATATTTTTCGTTATTGCAAAATATTCATTAATAAATTGTTATATGCATTTACAAAGTGTAGTTAATAATTAAAATAGTGATTCCATATTTTGTTCTAAATTATTGAAATTACAAAGTATTATCTTTTGATAAAGAATGGAGAAAAGCTAAATATAAATAGTGACAGTCTATTATGTCAGATTCTCGATGCATTTTGCATATGCAAAACTTTTTCTTTAAAACTTTTACTAACAAATTAAAACGTCATTACACAATTTATATGATATAAAAGCTTGTCGCGATATTTACATACGTAGATAAACAAGTATATTAAATAACTTGATCTGATTGATTTTAATTTAAAAAAAATTCAAACTATGTAAATACGAATACTTTAATCTCGCGACAAGCTTTTATTTCGTATAAATTGTGCAATGACGTGATAAGTTGTTAGTGAAAGTTTTAAAGGAAAAGTTTATTTTATTCTTTTTAGTGCATTTAAATAATTTATTCCTCATATTTATCATATCTATACTAATATTATAAAGAGGTAAAGTTTGTGAGTTTTTATGTTCGCGACAATTTCCGGTACTACAGATCCGATTTTGAAAATTCTTAACAAAAAAGCAGATCGCTAATAATTTTGGAAAAAATCGTTTCAGTTAAATCAGACATCTTATTTAGATACTGACAAACAGTACTTGAAAATTGACGGCTGAAATCAACAATTACTCGTACCAGAAAAGGCTGACTAATGAAACTATTACTTTTTATGATCAAAAATGTTGAAGGAATGTCAAGATTTTTCAGAAAGTGTGCATACAAAAAAAAATTGTTTAAAAAAACTAAAAAACAAGCTTTTATAGAAAACCAAAGTAAAAAATAGAAAATAAATTTTATTAAATTTGAATTTGATTGATTGATTTGAAGTTGTCAATAGTAAAAAGCACCCCACGCTTTAAACTATTTTTATTTCATAGTTTTTTTAAATTAGTGTATTGTCATCGGTCCTCGATATATCTACAAAGTTTGAACGAATTCTGACCGTTTAAAGTCAGTCAAAATCACGCCCAAAGGAGTTGGTTACAAACATACAAACAAACATCCAAGTGAAGCTAATATTAGGACTTTACCTATAAAATTGCCGTTTTATATGCAATAAGTGAAAGTACTTTTTTTTCAAACTTTTTTATTTCTGTTGTTCGAAGTAATCACCCATGCAATCGACGCATCTTTGCCAACGCATTGGCAGTTTATTGATGCCCTTTTTGTAAAAATCAGCTGGACGGGAGGCAACAAACTCTTCAAAGGCATTTTGTACTGCCTCTCGGGAATTGAATTTATAACCCACTAAAAAGTTGTCTAAATTTTGGAAAGGGTAATAGTCGGTAGGTGCAAGGTCTGGTGAGTATGGCGGATGAGGGAGAGTTTCCAACCCCAGCTCTTGCAGCTTGGAGACTGTCTGTTGCGCAGTATGGGGTCGCGCGTTGTCGTGAAGGAGCAGTGGGGACGACCGATTGACCAAAGCTGGTTGCAGATGTGACCACCAGACCTTGCACCTACCGACTATTACTTTTTCCAAAATTTAGACAACTTTTTAGAGGGTAAAAAATTGAATTCCCGAGATGCAGTACAGAATGCCTTTGAAGAGTTTGTTGCCTCCCGTCCAGCTGATTTTTACAAGAAGGGCATCAATAAACTGCCAATGCGTTGGCAAAGATGCGTTAATTGCATGGGTGATTACTTCGAATAACAGAAATAAAGAAGTTTTAAAAAATAGGTACTTTCACTTATTGCACACAAAACGGCAATTTCACAGGTAAAGACCTATTATAAAGCGTGTAAAAATACAGAATCATTAGAATCCACATGAATATTCGTAATATGTTTACAAATGTGCACGTACACTAGGCAAAGCAAATTCAAAATTTTAACCCAAATATCTTTTTTTTAACCATTTGTTGATTTACATGTAGCTCGTAAAATACGATACTTGTACAAGTCTGTAATGTTTGGCATATTATGATTCGCATAGTGTCTTTTGTTCTTGTAATATTATTAATTTTGCGTCCTTTCCTTTTTGACAAATGTTTATTTTGGCTGAAGAGTTTACTTTTTATATGAAAATCATTTTTCCATTTGCTTTCCTTCAATCTGTGGAATGATTCCGTAAAACAGGACGACAGGGTGCAATCTGTGCCACAGCAAAGGTAAGCGACTACTGTTAAGCTTGTGCATTTTTGTAGATTGTAATGTATAACTAATATTTTTTACGAGTACTTCATATGTACTTTTAATATTATAAAAATACCGAGCAGACCCCACCTGATGGTAAGTGTCTACCGCCGTGTCTATCGTCTATGGCCACCAGCTACTCAAGAGTTCAACGTGTGGGAGAAT